GGGGGCTGGCTGCACTGGTTCAAATGCATCTGGGACTATCAAGATAAAAACAAGTTCAGGAGTAAAATGGTCGTCATTGGACCTAAGTTAAATTAGTTACCAGTATGTGTGTAACCCTTAAACAGACTTTAGTTTGTGGTCACCATGGCAACCCCCTGCAACAGAGATTATTCAGATCCGATAGCAAAGACCACAAAAGCCCCCCCAGCATTCTTCATTTGGATGCTAACGTAGTAAAAAAACAAAAAAAAACAAACATATTTTCCATCCAATCGTTGATGTTTTTCCGTCTTTGACAAAGTAGATTGATCGCAAAAAGTACTGTGAAATGAAGCAGAGTTTCACATTGACGTACATTAGCTGTATTAATATTGGTTATAGTCAAACTGAGGCCTGCATAAATGAGTGAAGGCAGAGCTGTGCATGTTTCAAATGATGGAACTAAGCATCATGTTTCGTAGCTCCAAGACACAAGAAGTTTACCAAAGCTTTCACTACAGACAAATAGCTGTGAATGTGGACCATTTGTTACTCCGTCTTTGGCCTTTGGAGGTAGTCGCCTGAGTTTCTGGTACTGTACCCTCGCAGTCACAGCTTGAACTCGCAGTAATGAAGCATATAAACAGACACCGGTGGTGACAAATCATCTTCCTCGAACCCTGACAGCAGGGGTGAGAATCGGAGCAGTGGTGTCCTCTCTTCCTGACAGCGAACTGACACTTATCATCACTCTGAGCCGAGATATGGAGCGCGGAACCAATCTGCTAATGCAGCTCGGTGGAATAATCAGAGAGAGCCGTAAAGTCGAGAGTAAAGCCTTATCAATATGAGGAAGCCGTAACTGAATGCAGGTCTGATTCATCCACTGACCTTGAAAAATGTTTTCACTCTCATGGATTCGTGCTTAATATTATAGACTGTGAATTTTTCCAATCCATGATGCAGCAGGCTGTGGAGTGTTTATCATTCCACTTCTTTCAGCCTCACCCATGCTGCTTTTGTTAATGTGCCACCCTTTTGGAGGTCTGATGCTCCACAGCAGGCAGGCTGGCAGGTTGCTGGCAGAGTGTTAGCTTTAAATTGAGTGCAACCTTGAACCGGAAACCCATTAATTAGCGCATCCAGTAGTTTAATTGGCAGGCCTTGTAGGAACAAGGTGAGTTTAGTTTTACCACTGCTTGGAGGAGACCCAAATTTGCACACCTCACACAGTTAGATAGCTGCTGTGCAGAACTCTTCCCGTTCTTGTCATAACAATTTAAAGGCCTTACTCATCTTCTTCCATGCCTGTTTTGACTGCCTACAAAAGCCATGCTGTATATTTTATAATGATGCTATTTCAAAAGCGAGAGAGACAGAGGAACAACTCTGCGTGTGGAACCAAGAGACAAGCCAAACCGCTGTAACTTTCTATACGCTCCATTTCTGTAATGCAGTAGGCGCCTGGAGGCGGAGACCATCAGGGTAGTTGGAGGCACTGTGGGCCATAAATCCTCCCCATCCTCCCTCCAAGTGGAGCTCTTCTTCTCTCCTGTGCATCTCTGTGTGAGTTATGCTATTCAGTGTTACATCCTCGCACCACACTCATCCACAAACACACCTTACGACTGACTGTACGAATTACCACACCTCATAGCGTTGTATGTTGACATATCTGTTTAATTAACCCTCAGCTTGTGTCTTGCTGGTTTTTGTCATGGCTAAGGAGACTCTATACTCTCAAAAAAGTACAAATAAGCATCATTTTGGAACTGAAACAAGTGACAAGTTTATTATTCTTTTTTTCAATTTGTCATTTGATGTATTAAATGTCAGTTTGTGATTTTCCACTCCAGAATGACGTCCTCAAAATGCCTGTTCTGGACCAAATAAACAGTCCACAACCCAAATGATAATCAGGTCACATGAGACAAAGAAAGCCATAAATGAGAAGGTGAAAGCAGCTAATACCAATATTAGGGGTAAAATGTAAGATTTGCACTTTGCAGAACTAGGGGTTTAATCAGAGCATAAATACTTAAAAAAATTATAGCAAATCATCTTATTAGAGTGTGTTGTCCCACCACAAATTGAAGACCTGTTGCCAAAGGCGACACACACACATTACACACAGCTACAACAAATCTAAAATAAACAGCCTCGGAGGGCCGGTTCCACTCACTGGCCAGCCAACGCCCCTTCCAATGTCTTTGTGCAGCACTAAAGAGCAGATCTCCTGGGACAACAAAACCCTGAAAACTGGCCTCATTAATTCTAAATTAGGCTATACACAATAACTAGGCTATTCCCAGAGCAAACTTAAATCACAAAGTCTCTGCTTCTGCCTCTCCCTTTCTAATGCAGCTCTGTGAGTTTGACATTGGATAGCAGCAGTTATAGTTCATTTCATTGACCTTTTGATCTCCATCATTCCCAAACCCTGACCTCTGATCTCCATCCATTCACAGCTACTAATCTCTGAGCTCCATCATTCCCTAGACACTGACTTCCATCCTTTCCTGGCGACTGACCTTTATTGATTCCTTGTTACTCACTCCCTCCCTTCCTTCATCCATTCCTGGCTACTAAATTCCATCACTTCTTAACCTTTGAACTTTATCCATTCCTACCTACTGACCTCCTACCTGTCCTCTTTACATTCTTAACCACTGACTTCTATCCTTTCCTAGTCACTGACCTCAGTTCCTCCCTAGTCATTGACGTCCAACCATTCCTATCCATTGGCCTGCATTCATTTTTACTCACTGGCCTCCATCAGTTCCCATGACTGACCCTGATCTCCATCATTCCCTAGCCATTGAACACCATTCATTGAGCCACTGAACTTTTTAAATTCTTAGCCACTAACCATTTTCCTTTCCGCTGTCCATTCTTAGCTACTGACCTCCAATTATTGTTAACGACTGACTTCAATCCATTTCTAGCAACTGACGTCCCTCCATTCCGACATAAATTCCTAGTCACCGACATGCATTGATTCCTATCCATTGATCTCCATTCATTCTTATACACGGACCTCTATCAATTCCTGCAACTGAGCTCAAATCCCCATCATTTCTTAGTCCATCTTGTTATTCCCATTGACCTCCTTTTCTAGCCACAACTTTTCTTCATTCCCTACCACTGAAGTCCATTCATTCCCAGCTACTGACCTCCTTCGATTCCTTAATTCACTCCTAACAGCTAACCTCCATTGATTACCAGGCAACAGATTTTTATGAATTCCTAACCTCCTAACTTTGTCTACTCATAGCCGCTGTCTTCCACCATTTCCTAATTTGTAACCTTGATTTATCTCTCGCCATTGACCACCATTAATTTCTATTCACTGGCTTCCGTCCATTCTCACTAGTGACCCCTTGATCCCCATCATTTCTTAGCCATTGAACTCCATCCAATCCAAGCCACTGGCCTTTTTATGATTCCAAGCTACTGACATCCATCCAGTTCTCTTTGTGTTCTTTGCCACTGATTTCTACTGATTCCAAGCCATAGATCCTCACTAATTTGTAGTCACTGACCTCCAATTATTCCGAGCCACTCACCACTATCAGTTCCTGGCACCAACTTTTATCCATTCCTTACTACTGACCTCCCTCTAATCCTTTAGCTATTCCTAGTAACCGACCTCTATTGATTTCCAGCCACTGACCTTCATCAATTTCTAACATCGGAACTTTATTCCATTCCTAGCTACTGACTTCCTACCATTCCTCCATACATTCCCAGCCAATGACTTTCATCATTTCCTAGTCACTGACCTCAATTGTTTCCTAGTTATTATGTCCTATCCATTAACCTACGTTCATTTTTATTCACTCACCTCCATCTATTCCTGTATACGTTACTTGCCACTGACCTTTACCCATCCCATTGTCTATTCCTCACTATGATCTCCATTCTTTCCTTGCCACCAACCTTTACCCATACCTAGCCACTAACCACTATCCTTCCTAGCCACTCACTCCACTATTCGTCAATCTCTAACTGCCAATATCCATCTGGTCACCAGTGACCTCCATCTTTTCCTGGTCACTCACATCCATTCTTCATTAGTGACATGCAGCCCGCTTAATCGCTCATCTTCCTTCGCTGGCAAGCAGTGGTCTCCATGCCCAAATAAATAAAATTTAACTCCACTTTTAGCAGAGAGAAGTGTCTCACAGCCAGGTCAAATGAAGATGTATGTATTTTCAAATAAGGGAATGTAAAAGTATTATAATCATTGTAGAGTACAACTAATGCACACTGAGCCTGATCTGAATTACTTGTTATTTATTTATCTTATTATTGTTTTGTGCTGAAAACGTGCATAATGTTCTGGATTCTAATCTATAAATTGTTTTGAAGAAAACATATGTTTGAATGTAGAATGCATTAGTCATCTTTCATTGACTTACTTCCAATTTCCCTGCGAAGATAAATGGTTTCACTCTGTTGCACTTATGCCAATGAGATAAGATAGATGGGCAGTCTGTCGGTGCATCTTCCAGTGCTGGGAGTATGCCAAAAATGGCTTCATATTCCCAGGCTTTTTTGTGCTTGGAGACAATTAGGAACATGGTGTCCTGGTAGCTGGCCAACATACTGAGTGATGCCCACTCACTTCCAGTGACCTCCAGTAAGACATGTTGTGGTTTCATTAGTGGGACATGTTGAGTTTACAAATGGTACATGTATGGATAACCTTCATGTCAGTCAATAGGGCCTACAGAGACGCTGTATGCAGTGGCTCTCATTCTATATTCAGCATGTAGTTCACAGGGTCCAAGGGTCTTTGTGCATGATACTCTGAGCAAATATGGATTCCATTGGTGAAGCCATTTGTGCTCACCATAAGGACTGTACAACATAATCAAAATCCATTTAAAAATGTGCATATTATCATATGTCATCTGTACAGTGTTATATTGGGTTAATGTTGATCGTTCTTACAATTCGGAACACCGTGCATTCGCACATTTCCTGCAGTAGAAGCAAGACACATTAAAGGATCGACATAAAGTATTCATACATTATGTATTTATTTATAAACTTTGAATATTACATATTATCCTTTGATAAGGCAGATTATATGAACTCCAGAAAGATGATGTTACTGCAAAACATTCCAGCTCTCATAATGGCATACATTTACAGTGAATTCATATAATAAATGACACAGAATTTCTATTAGGCCCACTATGATACAATATGAAGGATCCAAAAAAAAAAAAAAGCTGAAAAAAATGATTGGCTTTGTTTGAAAGCCTCTGATGGAGGGTTGGAAGAATTCTCAATTTATTACATGTCAGAGAATACATTGTAAATACTCAAAAATGAAAATACTGTATTAGCGCTAAAAGTTACAACCTGACACTTTAAAGGAACAGAAATCTTATGTGCATAACTACAGCAAAAAGTCTTGCATCCTGTCAGGCAATCTAGAGCTACCTACAGATGTCTAACAGACATTGGAGGACAGTACTTTATGCAAATATGCTAAGTCACTTAATTGAAGGAAAAAATACTACAGCAAACAAAGAAGCCGCTTCTATAGCCTATATGCAGCTTTGCACTGCCTAACAGCACCACAACATCCATTATAGTCTAACTACATACTGGTAGTGTGTCAGAGGACATGCCGAGGAAGATCTGTGTTGTGTCGCCAGCTCTTAATAATTTAACACAACTGCGTGTCACATCCCGGGGAGGATTTCAACATCTTTGAGGTTGGTTTTAGGCTGAGGGGGGAAGAGGAAGAGGTCCAAAAGTCAAAGCAGGCAAATACTTTACACGGTCCCATAAGGAGTTGGCTAAATACTAATGGAGGTGTGCCCACACAGCTAACCTGTGAGTCACCGTGGATCTAGTGTAACCTCTACTGTTCTGCTCAGTGTTCTGCCTTCTACTGGTTCTAAGTCTACAAGCAGCAGAGATGGAGTTCTTTGTGCCTTATTGCTTTTCCTGTTTATTCCACAGTCTCGTTCCCTGAAGTTAACAGTCAAGAGCGGCCGTCTCGTGCGGCGCCTGTCCGTCCTCCGCCTCCACGTGCCCGCTCTCCGCCGCCGCCTCGCTCTGGCACGAGAGCTTCTCCTCGCACCTCACCGGACGCACGATGACGCACGGCCTCGCGGGCTCCGAGCTCGCCGCGGCGCGCGCCGGGCTGCGACTGTCGCGCTCGTATTCCTCCTGAGCGCGCTGGATCTTCCTGTTCCGGAGCTTCCTCTTGTGGAAGTGGAACGTTGCCAGGGAAACCAGGATGATCCCCACGAGCACGGCCACCAGCACGAGGAGCGCGAGGGCGGAGGAGAACGGCGGGAGGAGGCTAAGCTGCTCCGCGCAGGTGCCGTTGGTGGCGCCTCCGTGACAGCGGTGCGGCGGCACCGACAGTCCCGAGGCCTCGGCGGTTCTGGCCGTCATCCGGTCCACCTTTCTCCGGCCACTTCTTGTGTCTCTCTGACCCCAGTACCCTTCGTGCTCTCCGGGCTCAGCGCGGTGACACCGGCCCGCGCATGTGGTTACCTGCGCCGGAGAGAAGACACATGAGAGCCGCTCAATGAGCTCCAGGAGACAGAACCAGCAGAAACCCGCCCACCGACCCTCATTAGCTCCATTAATAAAACCAGCCCCGCACAATTAACATGGCAAGTGCGCACCATTTCACTCTGAACGTTAGATCAAAGCTGCCAGCCCCTAATGAGAATATCCCCTGATGGGGCTTTGCTCTGAATATAAGATGGAGAAGAAGTCGGGACAATAGGCTCCATCATCTATTGTAATGTGCAGGCCTCCAACATTCAGCCTCACAGGATCCTTCCTTCCCTGCGCTCCACGCAGCAGCGTTTACAGACAAGAATGTCAGTTTTACGCAGAGGATGATGCCAAAGCTGCCTTAGTTCAATGTGAAGTCTGTATGTTTTTTAATAAGGGGAGAAAATGCAGAATTCTTACCTGATGAAACAGTCAGTAGAGGAAACAGTCCGTGAGTGGAGAGCCGATGTGTGTAAATGGGAAAACTGGATCGCGGTGACGCATTTCATACAGTGTGATGCTGCTGCTGCTGAGCTCCGATCATTCAGGACGCTTTGATTGCCGCAATCCGTCCAGTCTGCGTCCAGGACAGCGCTGTCCCAGCTAAATACTACAGGTAGCGCAAAAATCCCTCACTATACATCAAAGTGGCTTTTCTTCTCTCTCTCTAAAATGCGATTAGAACGAAGCTGCGTGTGGTTTTCGGTGAACAGCGTCCCTCCTCCGGTCGTCCGCTGCTCCACTCAGCATCTGAATGAAGAGCTGCAGCTGCATTAAAGGTCCCGTTTACCAGTCAGCTGGCAGGGCTGCTTTTGTCCTCTCATCTAATCTATGCGCTACCAACACTGGGCAGCTCGTGTTTCCTTCCAATCACGACACTAATACATGGTTATTAGCTAATGTCTGGATTTAATCATGAATAACTACAAATATAAATGAGTTATTAGAGATTCTGCTCGGTTATTATAGTAGCATTCCTGAGGGTGTGGCCAGGCAAATGCTTTGAAGGTTGAAACCTTATCATTAGAGGTGGAAATGCATTGATTTTAATCCAAATGGAAGGTAATTGACACTTATTGGCCTTTACACTCAAATAGTAGAATATAAAGGTTGCACTGGAATAGATTACTGTGTAAATACACTCAGATTCTGACTGTAGTGTTTTGTTTTACAAAATACAGTTTAAAAATGTGTTACTTTTTGTAAAATTTGATGTTGCTGTTGAGTGAAAAAATTAGAAATGACCATTAGCAGCAGGCTACTGTAAAAATCTACAGTGTGAACTGAACAGTTCACAATTTAGATTAGTGACTTGATTTATTTTTTAATTTTTTAAAAATGTATTTTTACATGAACTAAAATTATTTTGCTTTCCAAAATATATTTAAAAGATTACAATTTGTTAAATGTTGCTGCCTACACTGTAAATCTGCCCCTTTAGAACAGCTTTAAAGATGCTTTTAAAATGTATTTTGTTTTAACAATATATTATTTTATAGATTTTCCCTATTTTATTAAAAATACAGACAAAAGAAAAAAGTTTTTATTTTTTATTTTTTTGCATATTAACCATAAAAAAGGGCCAAACCCATAAATAATGTCCACATTAAAAAACAGTATTTATATAAATGGTCATTTGTTCTTTTTCAATGTTCAACCATTATGTCTCTATATTTCCTGTATTTCCATCAGCTTAAAATATAATAGTTTTACATATATTTACCCGTATTTGACAGAAAAAAAATGGTATATTAAGGACGGAAAAGTGATGAATCCAGTTATTTTACAGATTTTCCCAGTTTTGTTAAGTTACAGATAATATCGAGTGAAACCACAGGAAATAAATATTAATGTACAATTGTTTGTTTGTTTGTTTGGTTGGCTGTTTGTTTTTACAATTCTGGCACCCTTGCAGCCAGATTTTTGTGTTAGTTTGTTTTTTGTTTTTGTTTTTTTTTACTGTGCAATCAAATTCTAACAGCATTAAGCAATGCGTGCTTGGTAAACATCAGTTTATATTAATGCAGATCTACAGCTGAAAACCGTTTAAACTTTTAATCTTCAGGAACATTCCCTGAAGGTTCCTGTTTGCTAGGATGTGTTTTTATTCTTTATGAACCAGAACTGACCTTTACCAGCTCTTTTTAGGTTTTAAAACTGAACATAACACTCAAACACCTGAAAGAACACAGAGTAAAAGATAAGGCAAGCTATGTTTTTAATGGATTGGGAACATTTATTCCTAATATATTTTTAAATACATATCCAGAAAATTAAGTGATCTTAATGGGGGAAAAAAAGGAAAAGAAAAAAAAAAGATGAAAGTGGCCTATCTCAGGGTATCAGTGTAAAATTGGCAATAATATTCTTAGCTGCCTAAATGAAGCTGCCACTTCAAACAATGTTTCATGAACTAAAAATGATGTGTTCACTTCACAACATCAGTTTTTACAGTAGCCTGCAGTTAAAGGTCACTATTGTTTTTAGTTTCAAAAAGTCGTGAGATTTTACAGTTTTTTACTATTTTTTTTGAAAAACAGAACATGACTGTTAGAATTTGGCAGTAGTTTTACTGTAATTAGTAATTAAATTCCCAAATAATTAAGATCAGCTGCTAATGTCACACCATCGAAGTGTTATCTCAGGCTAAAGCAGGCAGTCACAGCCACAAAATCCCAATTTCTTTAACACTTCTGTTGTGTTTGCTACTTTCTCATCTCCACCCAGACGTCCTTGCAGCACAGAACTTTTTGTAGCACAGTGATGGTGATGAGTGTTAAACCAAAATCAAGTGAACGGGCAGTTGTCATCCTTTGTTCTTCCACACATTTACTTGAATAACTGGCAAACTTCACACATCTTTGGTAATAAAATTCACTTTGGAAATAAGGAAATGATCCAAAGTAGAAGCTTAAAATAAGGATAGGGAACCTCGTTAAGCACTTGTTTATCACAGTGAAAGACTCCTCAGTAATAATATGATAATAATTTTTAACATCTACAGGTCTTCTGCAAATATTTCATTAAAAAAAGATGCTAATTTAGATCACCACCGGGCTCATCTCCTCCCTGACTGTAAGATGCCTGAAGGCAGTGTGACACGTAGTCCAAATATAGACGTGAGGGTGAAGGAGAACGCAGTGTTTCTACAATGAGGCCACACCTTGACCCACTGAGGCTTTAAAGCACAGTGAAATGTGTCATTAATGCTACTTTCCAATGCAAAAAGTAGTTTTCTGTTCTTTCGACTGGTGCAGGAGAAAAGTTTCATGGTGTCATATAATAATGTCAAGATAATCCACAGACTTATGTCTCAACTTGAGGTTTGAGTCTATGGTGTGAAAAGTGGTAACGTGTGCATATAAATGTGTACGCAGAATCAGTAATCATTCAACAATAAGTAAGGTGTGATTTTTTTTTTAAGTGCAATGAAATTAGCATTTAAATGAAGTTTTATTTTTAAAAAAAGAAATATGCACACAACATTTCTACGGTAAATAATCTGCATCATTATGTCTCAATTTGAGGTTTGAATATATAATGTGAACACTGTAAGTGTATGCATATATTATCATGTGCCATTGATGGACAATCTTTTCCCAAAGGAAGAGGAGGGCAAGCTCACAGCTGTAAAACATTAGAGCAAAATTTGGATGCAGATTTGTGACTAGCAGAAAAAGCAATTAAGTCTTTAGGGGATATCCAATATTTTTGTGAGGTTTAATTGGCACTGGACTGAATTTGTTAGAACAGTTTCTGATAAATCAATCTCATAACGTGTCCAAAAAGATGTGGAAAAAAGCAGAGATGTCATTTATTTAACAGTCAAACAGCAGGCAACACATGAAGTCCCTCTCAGGTTGTTGATTAAATCTCTCGATACTCTTCTCTGCTGCATATTTAGATGTTTTTCTTTATGGAAATGATTCCTTCATGCCTTAAAAAAGGGCTTGGATGTGATGCTTTACTGTTGCTGCGCTGCTTCGTTTGCTACATATGAAACCCTGTAAGTCTGAATTTGTGTTTATTATCAAGATGGCAATACTCAGCCATGGCATTGACTGCTTATTTTACTCATCATAAAATTGTTTAACTGGCATTAAATTGAGTTTTTGACCTTTTATTTGGCTCAAATAAGTCTTAAAACAGCCTTGTGTTAAAATAGTGCAAGGGTCAGAATCGCTGTTGGATCCAGAAAGTCCAGCTTTAGTGACAAATGAACAAGTTTAAAAGATTAACAGAAGCCAAAATGCTGCACAGTGGGTATTAATACTATTGTGTGATGAGATTTAACTCCAGGCTATAACTCTGGAAAGTTATCATAGCAGCAATTAATTTATGCTCCATCACAATAATCTTGGTGGTAAGTGTCAGCTTTTCACATGATGTTGATTTGGAAAAGGTGCCGCTCTAAGTTAAGTTTTTCACCTTGTTAACATGTCCATATGGTGTTTTAAAAAAAAAAAAAATGCTAGAAGACACATCACAAGTGAAATAAGCAATTTACGCTGTCCCTGAACATTTCCATTTTAAAACTGCAGTGACTTTGATGCACAGAGATGTGTTTTGAGGGGTTTAATCAGACAGTCATTTTAAGCTGGTTCAAAATTCTTTGGTGCTCGGCGTCGTGTTTTTTTCCCTAAAGCTCTCTGCCCCCACACCATATTGCTAGATTGGTGTCATTCATCAAGACACAGATTCCTGGTAGATTACTGTACAATGTGATCATATTTCTGCTGTTCGGCTTCCGGTCAGTGAGAGGAAAGATGAAATGACTGCTGCCATGAAGGCCTTCGAAAGAAGGTAGCGTCTGTGCTGTCTTTGCCATCTGTTGACCCTTCAAGCTCTGGGTCGGTTTCTCAATCTGGGCTTCATTTTACTGGTACTTG